ACCAAAAAATCTTTAGAAACTCTATGCATCCGAAGAAGTGAGGTTTTTACTCACGAAAGCTTATGCCCAAATAAATCTGTTAGTCTTTAAGGTGCCACCAGACTCCTTGTTGTACTTATGCTAAACTATCTGTTTGATCTTGTATTTAAACTGTGACACTCTATGCACCTTTCCCAGACCTGAGGATGAGCTCTGTGTAGCTGGAAAGCTTCTCTTGCCCACCAACAGAAGTTGGTCCAATGAAAGATATTACCTCACTCACCTCTTGTCTCTAATATCCTGGGACCAACACAGCTACAACACTGCATTTTCACTTGTAGTCAATAATATGAGACATTTGTAAAACTGCTTTAATACTTATGTCCACATTTTATATATTAAACAAACACTTTTGTTACCTAAACTCCATGTTTTTGTCTGCAGATTACAGTGCAATTTTATCACAAGTCATATTTGGTGTTTCTCTTAGAACCTCAGGTCATGGGATCAGGTATTTACATGAGAATCTCACCTTTTGCTTTTTAAAAAACAGGCTTCTTGCTCTTATGGAGAAAAGCCTGAAAATGTGATGTGAGTGCACACTAAGAAGCCAGAAGGTAAATCCAAAGAACCCAAAATGTATTATTTTTGAACATATTTTTAACTCAAGCTAGTAATTTTGCAGAGGGGGGGGGAGGGGCTGACCATGATGCTTGAGGTTAGTAAGGACAACCTAACTTTAATTTTAATTCTTTGCTTTCAAGTTTCCAGAACATGAAGAGATCATGGTTTTTTGTGCTAAGCAGCTTTGCATTTTTACTGTGCACAGATAACCTAGACACAGCCTATTTTTAAAACTTCAGACTGGTTTATGAAGTTCATCCTCAATAAAAATAAGAAATTCTGTTTAAAATAAATTTCAAGTTAACAAAGAATGTGTGTCACCCAGGAGAAAAAGCAAGGCAAGCTTGTGTATATTTTGAACTCTGCACATTAAAAAGTTTATCTCAATGTATGAGCATATAAACATGTGAACATTAAAAACTCGGAACATTTATATTTCACATTGCATACTGAATTACATCCTGAGTTGTGTGAATATGCACACTAGTTAATATTTTTATAAAATCAATACAAAGAAATATTAATGCAATCTTAAATCTGAGAATTTGAGACAGACAAAATGTACTACAGTAGAGCCTCAGAATTACGAACACCTCGGGAACGCTTGTTCATAACTCTGAACAAAATCTTATGATTGTTCTTTCCAAAGTTTACAACACTGACTTCATACAGCTTTGAAACTTTACTACGCGAAGAAAAATGCTGCTTTATTTTTTTAGTAGTTTACATTTAATGCAGTACTATACTGTACTTGCTCTTTCTTTTGGTCTCTGCTGCTGTCTGATCGTGTACTTCTGGTTCTAAATGTGTGTGGTCGACTGGTCAGTTCTTAACTCTGGTGTTCGCAACTCTGAGGTTCTACTGTACATATATATGGAAGCAGTTACAGTTGCTGTAGGAGTCATAACTGAATTTTCTTCTTTTCAACCAAAATGATATATTAATGCAGCTTTTTGCACTACGAGAAATAGAGTAGCTTTTAAAGAAATAATTTCATTTACTTATAAGAGAGTCAACAGGCACAACCTACAACAATTGGGTAGATTTTAATATCTTCAGTATATCATCTAAAACAAGCCCACAAAATATAAAGGTAAGTGTCTGGTTTACTTTGTAAATCTACATATGAAATACACTGCAAAAGAAAAAGTATCTGATTTGTGGTCAAAAATATTATTCTATGATTCTATGCAATATTGACAAACTCGAGCATTCAAAAAAAAATCATGAAAATAGGGTCTTTGTTTCTTTACAGTTCATCTCCTCTAAAGTCTTATTATCTTAAATCAGAATTTGACACCACAGTTTTTTTTCTGTGGAAGGTAGGAGGACAGTGAGAATTTATGGATGAATTTCAGTGAACAATAATCAGCATCTGGACTGGTAGTATGAGGTAAAGCTTTTTGTGTCTATGTGTCTGGTTTAAGTTTTCCCCAAAATTGTGCTCACCACAATCTTCATGTGGGGAGAGAGAAGGGAGGGCTGTGCCTGGCCAGCTGGAAGAAAAGGTGTGTTGCCCCTTTAAGGACTCCCTTTTAACAGGTGGGGAGAAGGGGGAAGTTTACATGGATGGGTAGGAAGGGCACAAAGAAGTTGGGGCCAGCTCAGGAGATCGTCACTGCATTGCCTCTTCCTGCTGACCATAAGAGTAAATGTCAAATCAGTAATAATCAGTGCACCTACAGAGACTGGGTGTCCGCAGCCCTGTGGCTGTGCAGGGAGCCCCCTGCAGCCCTGCTGTCACGGGAGACAATGAGTGGGTCCTGACAGCAGAGCTGCAGAGGACTCCCTGTGCTGTCTCAGGACCTGTGATACCCAATCCGCGTGTGGGGAGGCTGTGGACCTGGCAGGGCAGAGCAGAGCAGAGACCCCCCCAGCCAGGACTGCAAGGAGGATGACAAGCCCCTGGCTCCAGGGAAGGATACTCTGCTGCTGAACAGTTCCTGGCCAGGGATGGCGCTCACACACACCTGACTGGTGAGTGGGGCCCGTGACACTGGTTCCCTGCAGACACAAGGTGCGGGGAAGACCGGAGTCCTGGCCAAGCAGAGACCCCCAGGCAGAACTGCAGTGATCTGTCATCATCATCCCTGGCTGTGGAGGAGGCCACCCCTCTGTTGAATGGCTCCTTTTCCAGCAGGAGCCATTCAGCAATGGAGTGGCTTCCTTCCTGGCCAGAATCTTGTCCTCCTTCTCATAGCCCTAGCTGGGAGGGTGCTCGGGGGTGGGGGGCGGAGGGTCTTCTCTGCCAGGACGCCAGCCTTCCTCTCACCTTCTGCCTGCAAGGATTGGGTGTCAAGGGCCACAATGCACTGCAGCCTCCCTCACACCTTGCGCCCCAGTGTCTTGGGCCTCTTGGCTGCACAGGGAGCCCCCTGCAGCCCCACTGTCAACACTACCACACACACCCCAACTGAAAAAATAAAAATACATACAAATAGAATTTTTTTTTAATGGATAAAAATTGTTAAAATTAGAAAAAAAAAATATTAAAATAAATAAATAAAATAAATAAATAATAAAAATCTGCCAAGCCTATCTATGTGTTACATATATTGCAGAATACTGAGGTCGGAGACTAGCATCCCTACAGGAGCAGAATTAAGGTTGACGACTGTGGTGTACAACAGGTGCAATAGTGGCAAGGTGTGTCTGTGGGTGGAGGAATAGAGGGTACATATTGACTGCGGCTTAGCTTTTCATTTCCTTGTGTTTGTGATTTGGTGTCAGGTATGTATGTTGTGTGCATAGCATCTTTTTTTAAATAAAACTGAGGGTTTTTTATACAAATGAACACATACCACATTCATGCAAATTCAATTATGGTTTACCGTGTGTGTGGCAGGAAGCAGTTCTCTCTCTGAGCTATCCAACTCTCACTGATTTCAACAGAGGCCTTTCCACTGACTTTAATGGAAGCTGGATGAGACTTTAGGAGCTTTTTGGAAGCTACAGTTAGGAAGAGTGAATAATTTTCTTTATAATAAAAAATAGCTGACAATGATGAAGTATTTGCTTCTGAAACCTATCTGAGGCAAACAAAATTGTAATACTAGGGATGGACAAGGTTCTACAGCTGTCTCAGACCATAGCTCAAAGGAGAATTATAACTGATTAAAGTTGTGCACATACAAGCAATACAAAAATCTACCCCAATTTAACTTACCCCACTCTGCTTGCACTGGGAGAATGTGCATGCTAGAGTTCACAAGTAGTGTAATTTTGCCAATAAGATATAACGCTAAGGTTACTATCCATAAATATACTATGAATCTCTATACAGAATGCCACTTAGCCCTTAATGTTTACCAGATTTGTTAATTCTGGTTATTTCACTGTGTGTGTATGTAAACAAGTGTTAAAATATGCTACTGTCTATAAATGCCAAGAAAGTATTTATATATACACACACTTCTGTTCTACAGGTAAGTGTACATCAACCTAAAAGGACTGCACACACAGCATCTAGGGAAAAAAATCTAAACCAATTTACATGCAGTTGATTATAATCTGCCTTGAGAGGAGCTATCAAAACGTATAAAATACTGTCTATTTTAAACTGCAATGAAATATGACTTATGATATCAAGCTGAACAAAGCAATGGCTCACAAACAGAAGACCTTGTAAAAGAGGTCAAATCCTTCCCCTCCTCCCCCCCAATCACTTTGTTTAGAAACCCAAAGGCAATTTAAACATGACTGTGTTAGGAAATGAACACTATTCTTTTCACAACCCTGTAGCGGAGGATATATCTGGGGTTTATAAGCTCAGTGATAAAAATTTCCTCTGGCCTACAGCTTGCCACACAGAGGTCTCAGAGTAGAAAAGAACATTTTTGTAAAAATTTCAGTTAAGTCAGTTGAGCTGTGCATGGCACTTATTTTATTAAGTTTAATTTTGGGGGGATGGTTTCAGGATTTTCTTTTGTATTATTTTAAAATTTGTCAAGTATTTAGTCTTTCATGTGGAATAGTATTTGTGAAAAAGAGGGCTATATTAATGTTGTAATAGGTAGATTTCTCAGAATTTTATCCAATTCTAAGCTCATTTACATGAATATTACAGAACTGAAATACTGAGAGTTTTTCATTGGATTTAAATTTACATGAGAAAGAATGGCTGGGTAACATTAGGAAACTTGCAGAAAATGGTTTTCAGCAGCTGTTGCTCCTGAACTAGCATTAAAACTTGGTTTTATCACTTTTAATAGTGTAAACAAGCCTTTAGACAGGAGGAGGTCCCTCACTGTGCCTGTTTGTACACCAGGTACATTTTCTCCCTTTCTGACTGACCTAATTGCTGGAGCTGAACAGCATTCATCTGGAGTGAGAGGAGAAAAAATGAGAGAGAGCCTGGCTTCCAGAAGTACAAAATAACCAGGAACATCTCCCACACTGTTTAATTCAGGCCCCTATGAAGACGCAGCTGGAAGTAGGGGTTGCCTGCCCAAGCACCAAGATGGACCAAGGAAGGCTTTTGACCTCAAGCCAGGGCCTGCTCATCTACAATGCATTGGAGAGAAGTCACTGCTGCTAAGGGCCTCCCCAGCTCCAGAATCGCCCTCTGCCAATCAGACTGCTTCTAAGCTAAAGCAAAGGAGGAAAATAGTCAGAAAACTTTATTTTAAGGAGGAACTCAAGGAAACCTCTCTGACTTTCATGTGAAATCAGAAGGCAGGCGGATAGGGATATGGTCCCCATAGTTGTTTAGTACTCCTAATGTGCTGGCAGGGTGGGGATCTAGCTGACAATTCAAAACTCAAGGAGAGGAATCTCTTAGCTCCACTTCCATGCATGGGAATAAGGCAGATAAACCCATCCTGTCTAGAATGGGAGCAGCAGGCATCCAGGCCAGAGAATGTGCTGCACTGGCTTACAAAGATTAGCAGTTTTTAAATAACTTTATAGTATGTAAACGTTTGTGGAATAGAAAGGTTACAGTATGTAAAAACAGGATTGTCCCAACTGTACGTACTACACATGCGTCTGACGAAGTGGGCATTCACCCACGAAAGCTTATGCTGCAATACATCTGTTAGTCTTTAAGGTGCCACAGGACTCTTTGGTACTATATATTTAGACTCATGTTATTCTAATTATATATGTAAGAAAAACAGCAAATTCTAACACTGAAATTATCTTCCTGAAAAGGAGGTGCCTTCATCCCTCACAAGGGAAAAAGTCCCAGTAGACATTTCTCTGGCTTAGCTATTAGAAATTCAATTTATATAACTTATCTTTTAGAAAAGATAACCCTTGATTTTAATTCCCTCACTACTGTAGTCACTGCTTTGTTGTGTAGAACTGTTCTTTTAGAGTAAGTCATCTCTGAAAGCAGAATAGGCCAAAAAAAGAGGGAAGACAAAAGAAATGGAAGAGAAAAAAAATAGTAGACAGAATGAGACACTGGAAGAAAAATGAGAACCAATCCATGGTTGGCAACCACAATAACTATTTCCACACATTTCATACCTGAATAGCAGCAAGTTTATGTCTTGAATGCACAAGAATCACTCTGGCTAACATCAGCAAGATAGGAAGAGAAGTCAGATTATAGACTGATTCACCATCCAGAACCAGCATACTCAGAACAGCTGTACACAATGCTTTGGGCTGAAAAAAGAAAGAACAAATAATAATATCAGCACCAGACAATATTAAAGCACTTAAATAGAAAATAATGTATTACAGGGCTTTAAAAAGATTACCCAACACCTCACTGTGATGCTCTGTACCTTGGGGGAACATCCTACACTCCCATGTTCATCTTTATAAAATGATTGTGTGGTATCCAATGCAAAGTTTGTCATGTTGGCTGTCTTCAGAAGGCTCATAATACACTGAGCATGGTTGTTATAGTGATGTTATAGTAATGGTTACAGTAATGTTATAGTAAGGTTATAGGTTATAATTTCATGTATATAGTTATGAGGCTGAAAATGTATCCTCACTGCTTAAAGCAAGCCCATGCAAAAACTCTCCAAGAACAGAGAGGCAGTTCACACCTCGTCAGGGCATGGATGGGACAAACCAACCCAGCCTCACAGGAACAATGGACACTGGCTTAGGCAGCAACAAAAGAATCTGTTAGACCCTCGAGGGAGTCACTCCTTCCTTTAAAAAGAACAGGAGTACTTGTGGCACCTTAGAGACTAACAAATTTATTAGAGCATAAGCTTTCGTGGACTACAGCCCACTTCTTCGGATGCTGTAGGGGACCAGGGTGGCTGCCCTCCGAACCTGAGGGTAAAGGGCCTTTCCCTCAGCCTGAGTGGGCGGGGCCAGCCCAAGCTTGCTCCACCCCCCGGAAGGGGAGGGGTGGAACAGGAAGTATAAAGGGCGGGGCCCTTAGCTCAGTTAGGGCAGCACCAGGGAGGGAGGCAGACACAGACTGTGGGCTGCTCCCTTCAGAGCCTGCTGCCACACCAGGGGAGGCCCTGGACCCATGGAAACCTCACCTGGAGGACGGACTGGGGCTGCCAGGACTGCCCGCTGCCGAGTACCCAGAGGAACTGGAGGAGTCGGAGGGGGAGCGGGAGCTGCCAGCAGCCGAGTACCCAGAGGAGCTGGAGGAGCCTGAGGGGGAGCCGGAGCTGCCGGCAGCGGACTACCCCGACGCACTCACGGGACCAGAGGGATTCGGGCGAGCACTCGGCTAGGATGTAGCCCGGGGAGAGAGCTGCACACTGGTGAGTCTATGTAGCGGGACGACCCCTCTGCCCCGGTGGTGGGTCCCTCGTTCTGCCACTGTCAGGGCCCTGGGCTGGAGCGCAGTGGTGTAGGGTAGGCCTGCG